TAGTGGAGTTCGTATTGGGCTGGCCCACCCGAAGTGCGCGCGGTTTCTGTGGTACAGTGAGAGTCCAGATTCAGAGGCCTTACCTCAGAGGGGTCACATTGGGTATTTGAACCCGCGACCCCGAGTGCCGAGTCTAGTCAACTCCTCTACCCTGACCGCTCAGCCACCGAACCAGCTTGTCGGCGGCGATGTCGCAACTCCTCTTGAGCTGCCGTTCGAGAAATCTGGTCCCGAAAAAAGGGTACCTGGAGCGGTCTCGAACCCGGGACCTGCCGCTTCCCACAACATGCTCTTTACCACTGAGCCACCGGGACACCATGGCACCCGCTCTATCTGCGCTGGTACTCAATCTTCTCTGGATATACCTCCCGAAGCAATTGGTCGCCGAAAAAATTGTTTATACTACCGGTCCCGAACCCGGGACCTCCCGCTTCCCGCGACATGCTCTTAACCACTGAGCCACCGGGACGCCATGGCACCCGCCCTGCCTGCGCAGGTACCCAATCTTCTCTGGATATATCCCCCCAAGCAATTGGTCGCCGAAAAAATTGTGCATACTACCGGTCCCGAACCCGGGACCTGCCGCTTCCCACATTATGCTCTTTACCACTGAGCTACCGGAGGACCATGGTGCTCGCTCTGCCAGCGCCGGTACTCAATCCTCTCCGGATAGACCTCCTCAAGAAGTTTGTTGCCGTTGCCGAAAAATTTGCTCATGGCACTCGTCTCGAACCCGAGACCTGCCAGTCAGGAACGGAGCACTCTAACCACTGCGCTATCAGGTTGCTTTGAGCGCCGCCCCCTAGCGCCGAACTTATAATTTGTCCAGCATCAAGCAAGATGGGTGGCTATTCAAGTTTGGCGCTAGGTGGGTGGCGTGCATAGCATCCTGATGGCGCAGTGGTTAGAGTGCTCCGTTCCTGACTGGCAGGTCTCGGGTTCGAGACGAGTGCCATGAGCAAATTTTTCGGCAACGGCAACAAACTTCTTGAGGAGGTCTATCCGGAGAGGATTGAGTACCGGCGCTGGCAGAGCGAGCACCATGGTCCTCCGGTAGCTCAGTGGTAAAGAGCATAATGTGGGAAGCGGCAGGTCCCGGGTTCGGGACCGGTAGTATAAACAATTTTTTCGGCGACCAATTGCTTCGGGAGGTATATCCAGAGAAGATTGAGTACCAGCGCAGATAGAGCGGGTGCCATGGTGTCCCGGTGGCTCAGTGGTAAAGAGCATGTTGTGGGAAGCGGCAGGTCCCGGGTTCGAGACCGCTCCAGGTACCCTTTTTTCGGGACCAGATTTCTCGAACGGCAGCTCAAGAGGAGTTGCGACATCGCCGCCGACAAGCTGGTTCGGTGGCTGAGCGGTCAGGGTAGAGGAGTTGACTAGACTCGGCACTCGGGGTCGCGGGTTCATATACCCAATGTGACCCCTCTGAGGTAAGGCCTCTGAATCTGGACTCTCACTGTACCACAGAAACCGCGCGCACTTCGGGTGGGCCAGCCCAATACGAACTCCACTAATCTGTCGAATTGCGCGGCAGGGATGCGTCGGATGAAGGCCCGGTTCCCATAAGAACACCGAAGCTGATCGGCGGGTCTCCTTGAGACTTTCGTATTGCCACTTTTTGCTGCCGATTTTTTCCATGAAACGCACTGCGGGAATGGCGCATCATTGCCCAGCGGTACAATGTAGTTCAGTGTGCAAGCTACCAGGTGCGAACTGGTCTTACTTCGGCGTCGGCGTCCACTGCGAGAAAAGATCACGGTAAATCCTGTACTGATTACTCCAGACTTTTTTAACGGGCTATACCGTCATTTTTTACAGGCAATGCCGTACTTTTTTACAGGCAACACCGTACTTTTTTTACAGGCAACACCGTACTTTTTTTTACAGGGAATCCCGTACTTTTTCCCCCGGCAATCCCGTACTTTTAATATCTATCAAAAACTGCAATTTTTTTTAGTCGGTTGACCTTCTTTTTTCAAGATTCTGATGTACGTCAACTGCTGAAGTCGGACTCCTGGACCCCCCTTTCGACCACTCGTTGAAAAGGTCTTGACGAGACCTATCGAAAGGTGCAATAAAATTTTTCAGTCGGTCGACCCCCTTTTTTCAAGATCCTGATGTGGACAATTCTTGGAAGCGGCCTTTGTTGGGACCAGATCTGGTCTTTCCTACGGCATGGACTGTGCGGAAGAACGGTAACTACTGTTAAAAGACTACGGAATATTTTGTTAAACAAGTACGGTAAATACTGTAGACTGTACGGTGGATACTGGTTTTTGAAGTACGGTAAAGTTTGGCAAAAAAATTATCCAGGATTTACCGTCATTTTTTCTCAGAGTGTCTTGGGCCCGCCGAGACTCGTTTCCAGGACCGTGAGCCCCAAACATTCCGAACCGTCCTGGAAACGGGTGACAAACGTCGCCAATGACACCCGTTTCCAGGACCAAACGGCAAACTGGTTGAATTTCGCCACTCCCGTCCTGGAAACGGGTGTCCGGCTACCTCAGGGACGCGTTACGGCCCTGAATCTTTCAGGACCAAGTCTAACCGTGCTCAGACTGCGGGTCCGCACAGCAAGTGGCGCTCGGGGTGGTTTCCGGCGGGGGCCACTTGGACGTCCAGCGCGAGAACCCAATGAGCAGGCGCGGCACGGGGGCAAGGCAGAGTGCTTCCTAATTAATTCATCAATTTGTATTCATTCAAGTGAGCCGGGACAGACCGAGCGGCCAGGCGCTGCCGGGCAGGCAGGCAGGCGGGCGGGCGCGGTCCGGAGCTGCCTGCTGATGGCAAGCGAAGGGGGCGGCGCGGCGTGGAGGGGCGCGCTGGGGGCGTTTGCACGCGCCCCCCTCAAACGGCGGCCCACTACACTTGACCTCTGAATTACCCCCTCCCCTCCCCACCGCTTCACCCCCGTCACTCAATTTCGCGAGCATCCCCTTTGTCCTGGCACAGATATAATTAACTGGAATGAAAACGATGGCGGAAAAAAGGAAGAAAGGAACAGGGAGGGACTCTGGATTATTCCCTCCCACTGCGGCACTGTAGTTGCCCGCCCCGTCGGCCAACTCCTCTACAAATCGAAGAGTGTACATGGTATGCTTTAACTGGAGCATGCCTGCAAGCACGCTCTAACTAGCGCATGCCTGCCAAGCATGCACTTACTAGCGCATACATGCCATGTACACGCTTCCTGATGCAGACAACTCCCTATCTCTTATGCACTAGATGCATGCTTCAGTTAGCGTGTACATGGCATGTATGCACTAGTTAGTGCATGCCTGGCAGGCATGCGCTAGCTAGAGCGTGCTTGCAGGCATGCTCCAGCTAGAGCATACCATGTACACTCTTCGATTTGTAGAGTCGGTGTCGTAATTGCCAAATGATTGAAATTAGTTTCCAGAGTAATTTGACCAAGTTTCAGGGAAATGCAGGAGGGCGGGGTCATTCTTTAAAAATAAAGAGGACAATTCTAAAGCGAGGAAGCTGGAGGGAATAACAGGAAAAGTAGCGATATACATCGGCAACTTTGGCCCGTCCCGTGCATTAACAAATGTGTGAATTTCGCCTTTGTTTAACCCTGACGGGTTTGAACTTGAGTCTGGGGTCAAAATAGATGATATTTTCGTCATCAGCACCATCAAAAACATACGAAACAATGCAAAAACTCTAATAAAAAGAATGTTCAAAATATACCCCACTGGGATTTGAACCCGGGTCCAAACTTCTCCGATTCGCTTGAAACTGGCACCGTTGGTTTTGTCTCGTCGCCCCGATTCCAAAAATACCCCTACATGTCCTGCTAGCTGTATCCGTTGCCGAAATCCTCCTCGACCCCATGTAGACCGTGATGCACCTGCAGCAGCGCCCCCGGGACTCGGATCGGATTTGCTGCCACCGGGCGGTTCTTAGGGTCACCCAAGGAGGCTGCATACCAAATTTGGTCAAGATCGGACCACGGGAAGTCCTCGGACGAACGAACGGACGGACGAACGAACGAACGGACGCACAGCATGCATCATACTATATGCCCGTCCCTCCGTCATTTTTTTACAAAAAATAAACGGGACGGGCCAAAAAGGGGGGGAGCGAAGTGAACGAAAAGCGGAGTGGGAAGGACCGCCCTGTCAAGGAGAAGAAGAAGAAGAGGAATCCACCAGGTCTGGTGTCGCTTTTCCCCATTTGCCTTGTAAATTTTTTCAATGCCGGGTCGTATCATTAAGGGGCAGGTGAGGTCCACCGGGGGCTGCCAGAAGACTGATTCCGAGAGTCTCGCTCTGTCTCTCTCGCACCCATACGGGGCGCCCCATGAGTGCGAGAGAGACAGAGCGACGCTCAGCGGATCGAACGACCCTCTCCGGCTGATTCAGAGTTTCACGCGCTCTGTCCCCCTCGCAATCAAGGTGCTAGCGAGAGAGACAGAGCGACGGAAGCCTTTCACCGCCTCTCTCGCGTGACTGTACACTCGATGACAAAGTGCACCGCCTTTGCTCACCCCCGCCCCAACTACTCGAGAGCGAGAGAGACGGAGCGTTCGGAAGCAGCCTCGCCGAGGGTCCTTCATTGCGTCACTTTGGCGGGAGTTCTCATTTCGCGCCAAATTAAGAAAGCTCCCGTCTTGGCTTGGCTGCGCGGCTGCGCGTCTCGGAATGCAAACTCGGTACCCTGCACAGTGGGCCAGAAGACCGGTGGCGGCGGCCAAAACTCTGGACGCGTTTTGAGCTCCAGAGTCGCCAAATGGGACTCGAACCGAACGTGTGACCCCACCAATGGATTCCTTGTTCGGAGAGCGATCCATTGGTGGGGTCACACGTTCGGTTCGAGTCCATTTAGCGACTCTGGAGCTCAAAACGCGTCCAGACTTTTGGCCGCCTCCTCCGGCCTTCTGGCCCACTGTGCCCTGCCGCGCCCTCGTTTGTTCCATTCTAAGAGGTCCCTCTCGCCCACCTCGAAACGGCAGTGCTAATTCGCTTCGATGAATCACTGCAAAGCCAACTCACCTTAAATCCTTTGTACCACTCCTTGATTGTGGGCTCGTCATATCTTGTGTGTGATTTTAGAAAGTCCATATCTTCTTTTGATAGTTTGTCTTTACTCCCAAAGCAGCCCATCGTGTCCTGGAACAAGAAAAACAATTCGTAAAGAACTGGAAACAAAATAAGAACAGGTTTCAAATCCAGGATCGATCGTTTCGTTCTGACGCGGGCACAGTGTCCTGAATGACTCAAACCCAGTGTACTAGAAGAAGAAAAAATCTCTGACACTTGGTAACCACTAAAATAGAGAGACCAAACTCAGCAAAAACGGGTCCTGTTTTCCCCAGGTGGCCCACAGCAGCAAAAACATGGACGGTTTTCAGGGAGTTCCTAGAAAAAAAAAAAACAGAAACCGTTTTTGGTTTGTAGCATGTTGGCGAGGTATGAACGGTCCAGGAAAAGAATTGACTAGATATTCTAGACTTTTTTCTACCAGTGTACGCCACTTCATCTCTATCGCAACTCCGGAGCGCCCCAACAGCGCGACAGCACTCATAAAAGCTAACAAAGGATTTCCGTCGTAACTACGAAGAAAATTAAGGAATAGTAGAATTGCTTCGTATTACGAAAGATTTTGCTTCATAATACGCAGCAACAGACCAGACGGCTCTCCCGAATCAGGCCAGGTCCGCCCACGCACCTTCATTGCACAGTAAATGTCTTACGGTGAAAGGCTGCACCAACATATTATGGTGGAGATTTTCTCCATAATACCAACGAAATTCGTCAAAATATCTATAAGGTACAGTGAATTCTCAATGGTATGTTACGAAGTCAGCTGCACCACCATAATATGGAACATTTTCACCATAATATGGAGAATCTTCACTGTACAACATTTAGAGTGTGGACGCAAGGTTGGCCGTCGGTAGAGGGAAAGCCAGCACCAGAAGCCACATCCCTTTCAAAGTTCATCCGTCAACTTCGGTGGGGTCTTTTGAGGACGCGTCGACGTTCCGAGAATGCGCGCAGCGACGCCTAGGGCTGCAAGGGCTGCGCTATGACGGCGAGGGGGTGAAATGTCACGCGAGAATGTCATCCAATTAATTTTGTCTCCCCTCTCTCTTGCTCCCTCCCCTTCCGTCCCCGACACCCCCGGAGTTTCACCTTTAATACCCGCACCACGCGCAGCGCGCGGCCAACGCAACAGCGCCCAGATGCCGAACGGGGCTGTCGTCACGCTCTGTCTCTCTCACACTCGAGGGGCGTCGCGTCCAGGTGAGAGAGGGAGAGGGGGGAGAGGGAGATTGATTGATTGATTGATTTATTTATTTTAGGTACTTGACAACGAGACTGGGGAGTCCCACGAGCGTCAGTACCGCTCTCACAAAATATTAACATGATTGAAAACATACATTTTACAAATACTTAAGAAATACAGTGTCACAGCACAGAGGATGACTAATATTTATTGAGGAGTTGACATTTCAGGTTGTTTTTAAAAGTAGTAACATTTCCATACTTAAGGAATTTGAAGCCAGAAAACTTGTTAAAAGCATGAATGGCACTTATACAAAAGGAGTGTGCATACTTTGCAGTTCTGTGAACAGGTATGATCAGTCTATCAGGATGTCTATTTGAGAACTGAAACATTTCAAAGAGATATTGAGGAGTTTGACACTTAAGAACTTTCCAAGACATAATGGCGAGGCTCATGGTCCGCCTGTCATCCAGTTTCAGCAGCCCTAAATTACAATAGTGGGGAGTTATATGCTCATATACTTTACAACCCGTGATAAATCTAATGCACACATTCTCTGCTTTTTGGAGCTTCTCTGTAGTGTACTTGTTCATGTCCGTGAACAAAATTGAGCCATAATCTAGGTGGGGGAGAATCAAACATTGCACAAGACGTAACCTTATGGAAGCAGGAAGACAATCAAAATTCCGTCTTGCTTGAGCCAATGAACTAAAGACTTTCTTGACAGCCGAATTAGCCTGTTGCCTCCAACTTAACGTAGAGTCAAATATGATACCAAGGTTGTTCACTTCGTCTTTATAGGGCACTGGAGTATCATTTATAACTATTAAAGGCACATCCATTTCATTCAGAGAGAGAGAGAGAGAGAGAGAGAAAGAGAGAGAGAGAGAGAGACGAGAGAGAGAGAGAGAGAGAGGAGGAGGACAGGGGAGAGGAGAGAGAGAGAGAGAGAGAGAGAGAGAGAGAG